AAAAAAAAAAGAACTTGACCTCTGTGTAAGATGCAGTTCCACTTTTTTAGGGAAAACAGCATTGAACTGAGGTCTTCATTAAAGGTGGCGTACTTTTTTCTTTATTTGCAGAAAATCTGAATAATTTAATCTTACTGTTAAGTCTTACTCAGTTACCTTCAGTTTATCCTTCAGTTGTTGTGAATGTGGTCATGACACTGAAATTTTTACATATTGGAAACAATTTGTTTTTATAAATCTCTTAGATCAAATAAATTAAGTCCATTTTTGATGATGATTATTCAAAAACGCCACTGAGTTTTATGTTTTAAATTTACTTTATGGTTAACTAGGGTGACTGGTGGCTCAGCAGCTTATGTTAAACAGTGTTTTGATGTGTGCTTGTCTTTTACCTGATTGTCTTCTCTCTCTGTAAACAGATAAGCAATTTAAAGAAAATTTTAAAAGGAATTCTGGATTACAATCATGAGGTAAGGATTTTTTTCTCATCCTGTTTAGAATATTACTATAGGATAGTTTAATTTTATAATAGTTTCAAGTTAAGGAAAAATTGCCTTCAAAATTAATAATTGCTTTGTCTTCCATTGTATAGTTTCTAGGATTTTGGTCAAATTGCCATCTATTAGGAGGCTAATAGGTGAATGATCTTTTTCACTACATTATGGGTAGTTTGTAGATGATTACTAGTTTATGTTAAATTTTATTTTATGCTAACTATTAACTCTCTCTTTCTTTCCTTACTTGTGAAGGTAGTTTAGAGTTCATGCACTGTTACTGTCAGCTCCATTGCCTACTTCCATTTTATTCCTTGGCAAACCTCCACCCCTACATGAGCTCAGTCTGTCCCCCGAGTCTGCATCAGAACAGTCAGACGTTGCTACAGATGAAATCAGGCAGTGGAACTGACTAGGTTCTCTTTAAATTTCATGATCACAGATGTTAAATGGACATAACACTGCCTAGAACCCTATGTTATTTTCCTACTGTTTTCTTCCTGCATCTGTAGTTTACCCGCATCTGTAGTGCCTGCCTCCTCAGCCGGTAAAGCATAGACTCCCTTCAACATACATACCAATAGCATGTCTTCTCCATCTCAGTAAGAGACCCTGTCATCCACCCTACTGCTCAAGCCCGAAACCTAGAAATCATTCTATAGTCCGTCCTCCTTTTAGTATTATCAGCAAGACCTATTAGTTAAACCTTCAAAATATAGCTCTCTTCATCTCTCTGACACCACCCTATACCAAGCCANTTAGTTAAACCTTCAAAATATAGCTCTCTTCATCTCTCTGACACCACCCTATACCAAGCCATCGTTGGCTCTTGCCTTGATCACTAAAGTAGTCCAGCTGTTGACCCTGATTTTACTATTGCACCCGCCATGGTTTATTCTCAACTCTGAAGCCAGGATGATTTTTTAAAATTTATGCTAACTATTAACTCTCTCTTTCTTTCCTTACTTGTGAAGGTAGTTTAGAGTTCATGCACTGTTACTGTCAGCTCCATTGCCTACTTCCATTTTATTCCTTGGCAAACCTCCACCCCTACATGAGCTCAGTCTGTCCCCCGAGTCTGCATCAGAACAGTCAGACGTTGCTACAGATGAAATCAGGCAGTGGAACTGACTAGGTTCTCTTTAAATTTCATGATCACAGATGTTAAATGGACATAACACTGCCTAGAACCCTATGTTATTTTCCTACTGTTTTCTTCCTGCATCTGTAGTTTACCCGCATCTGTAGTGCCTGCCTCCTCAGCCGGTAAAGCATAGACTCCCTTCAACATACATACCAATAGCATGTCTTCTCCATCTCAGTAAGAGACCCTGTCATCCACCCTACTGCTCAAGCCCGAAACCTAGAAATCATTCTATAGTCCGTCCTCCTTTTAGTATTATCAGCAAGACCTATTAGTTAAACCTTCAAAATATAGCTCTCTTCATCTCTCTGACACCACCCTATACCAAGCCACCGTTGGCTCTTGCCTTGATCACTAAAGTAGTCCAGCTGTTGACCCTGATTTTACTATTGCACCCACCATGGTTTATTCTCAACTCTGAAGCCAGGATGATTTTTTAAAACGTAATGTGATAATGTCAGTCTCCTTCTTAGTCTTCCGTGGTTTCCTGTTGCATTGGGAATCAAATCCGTATGTCACACCATGGGCCACAGGTGCTACGTGACCCTCTAATGCCCTCTTACACTGCTGTCCCTTTCCCTCCTGGTAGCACAGCCGTGTTCATCCTGCCTCGAGGCTCAGGTGGGCGGCGCCTGCTCTTGCTCAGAGCCTCTGTGCTGCCGCTCTTGTTGCGTGAAGTGCTCTTCCCTCAGCTTGTGTCATTGTTCCCTGTGCTCATTGGAGCTCACTGTCCCCTCCTCAGAGAGGCTTTCCCTGACTATGTGCTGTCTCAGTTAGGGCAGCTTTACCCCTCCTCCTCATTGCTCAGTCACACCACCCTATCTATTCCCTTTAGTGCTGGCTGTAGCAGAAGCCTTCCTCTTTGTTGGTTTATTTGGTTGTCTTACCTCATGATATCATTAGAGCCATGAAATGAGGTGGGGGCCGTATCTGACACAGTTGTCGTCCTGTCCCAGCCCCCAACACAGTGCGGTCACACAGAAGGCACTCTGAATTTTCTAATCATTCAAATATTATTTTGAAAAAAAATCAAATATTAATTTCCAGGAAAAATATATTTGAGATATATAAATGTGCACATAGGGTTAGTATTAGACAGCTTGACAAAAGGGCAAAAGAGTGGTTTTTTTTTGTTCTGTTTTTTTGGTCATAGGAAGTCTTTGTTACTTTCTAAGGGTGCTAAGAAGGAATATTTACTAAACCTTTTGGGCTTAGGAGAAGTGATTTTGTTCTGAGCATCATGCTCATTTTGTAAAGTATGAGTAGTAATTTTCAATAAAGTATTACAATGAAAAAAGAATTAAGAAATTTATGGCAATGAAGAGGATAATGATGTTTTAGGAACCATTTTCCTGAGTGTTATCCTGAGACAGGCATCATGCTTAGAGCTGCACTCTGACCAGATGCAGTAAGCACTGCTGTCCTGGTCTTGTACACGAGAAATGGAGGCTCAGATAATCTACCCATATACCTCTTTCTTTTCCCTCTTATTATTTTTTTGTCCGCCTCCCCTACTACCCGTCCAAACCCCAATTTTTCTTGGCAGTGCTTTGGGCCTTGGGTCTGCCAGCATTTCTTTGTGGCCCCAATTAGCATTACCTAGCCATGCTGATCGTATTCAGAGAGGGAAGATCTCAGTCTCTGAGGATGCTTTAACATCTTCACATTAACATTGGAACCTTATTATGCCCTTTTAGAACCTAATGATCTGTCATTACCTTCCACCCTCACACTGGGAGTTCCTTTGTCCCTCTCCTGTTTCGGATTCCATTTACTAAATCCTGCGCATTTCTCTTTCCTAGTTTACTTTCTTTTGGTGGAGTACATTTTCAAGGCGCATCTTCAGAAAAATGATAGATATTTTTTTAGGCCTTGTATATTTGAAAATAATCTTAGCTCTCCCTTTATGCTTCATGGTTGAGTTGGACGTGGATTTGGAACTAATCTCTCCGTATTTTGAAAGGATCATTCTGTTGTCCTCTAGCTTCCGGTGTTGCTGTTTAAGTCTCTCGTTTGGATTCCCGTTCCCTGTCAGTAACTCGTTCATTTTCTGGAAGTTTTTAGGATCTTCTTTCCAATGTTCATGCTGGTGTGCTTTGGTGTGAGGTGGTGTTTTGTTGTTGTTCGGTATTGTTTTACTGTGCTTGGAATTTAGCAAACCCTTAAAATCTGAATACCTACTGGTTTAGTTTTAGGAAATTTTCTTACATTATTTTTTTTATTCATTTCTGCCCCATTGTTTTCTCTGTTCTCTTTCTCGAACTCCTTTTCAGCTATTGAACCTTGTGGCTTGATCCTTTAATTATCTAACCATTTCACTCCTTTTTTGTCTCATGTTTTTGCTCCACTTTCTGCATAATTACACATTTTTCTTCCAGGTTGCCTATGGAATTTTTAATTTCTGCTATTATACTTTTAACTCAAATGAACACTTTTTTGTTTTGTTTTCTTTCTTTCTTTTTTTTTTGGTTGCTGGCCAGTAAGGGGATCCAAACCCTTGACCTTAGTGTTATCAGCACCACACTCTAACCAAGTGACCTAACTGGCCAGCCCCACTTTTTTCTTTTCTTTTTTTTTTTAACTTGTCTAAAAGGTATTTCTTATTCTTTTTTTTTTTAATATTTAATTTTATTTTGTCGATATACATTGTGGTTGATTATTGTTGCCCCTTACCAAAACCTCCCTCCCTCCTCCCTTTCCTCCCTCCCACCCAACAATGTCCTGTTTGCTTGTCGTATCAACTTCAAGTAACTGTAGTTGTTATATCTTCTTCCCCCCCACCCCCCGGTTTGTGTGTGTGTGTGTGTGTGTGTGTGTGTATTTATTTATTAATTTTTAGCTCCCACCAATAAGTGAGAACGTGGTATTTCTCTTTCTGTACCTGACTAATTTCACTTAATATAATTCTCTCAAGGTCCATCCATGTTGTTGCAAATGGCAGTATTGCATTTGTTTTTATAGCTGAGTAGTATTCCATTGTGTAGAT